CAAAAAAAAAAAAAAAAAAAAAATGTCCCTAGAAAAAGGCAACCACATTAAACAGAACTTTCTGAGGAGAGAGGAAAGGGGGGACAAGTGGTGATGAAATGCAGCTTGACTTGGGGTGTTGGACACACAATACAATATACAGATGATGTATTATAGAATTATACCCTGAAACCTATATATTTTATTAACCAATATCACCCCAATAAATTCTATTTTAAAAAGAACTTTCTGAATTTCTTTACTAAAACTGTGATCTTAGTTGGGTTCTAACTTCAGTTTCACAAGTTCAAATTACCTCTTCTTTTTTTTCTTTTTTTTTTTTAATCCTTACCAAAAGATATGTTTTCATTGATTTTAGAGAGAGAGGAAGGGGGAGAGAGAGAAACATCGATGTGAGAGACAAACATCAATCAGTTGCCTCCAATACGCACCCTGACAGGGGATCTAACCTGAAACGTAGGCATGTGCCCTGATTGGGAATCGAACCCACAACCTTTTGGTATACAGGATAGCACTCCAAATGAGCCAAGGCCAAATTACCTCTATTCTTTAAAACCATTTTCCCTGGGGAAGAGAGGTTTAACTTAACATGACATACAATGTGCTTCAGAGTGTTTTAAAAATGATGGGCATTTTAGATAAGGAGAGCCTGCATGGTTAATTTATAGATGCTAAGGACCCTGATTGACAAGCAGTTGGTTTACGAAAGTAAATCTTAGATACAAAAATGGGTGGACATTTTAGAGAGTTGGAAATGAATTCCAGTAAGTTTAAAAATCTGCTATGCTAGTAAATAAAACCTATGGCCAAACAGTGTTGTTGAGAGAATATTTAGTTTGACATCATTTGTACCAACAATAACAGTCAATGTAGGCAGAATAACAGAGCTGTAAGTAAAAATTAATTTTATACTTGATTGTATGTAGCTTCACCATTACATTGAAGAAAAGAAAGATGTCCTAAAGGCTCCAGGCAGTTCAGAGGAGTATTAATGAAAAAAAGAATAAAAATATCCCACTGTATCATGGGACAGAAACATATCACGGCATTCTTTTTTTTTTTTTTTTATCCTTGCCTGAGGATATTTTTTTATTGCTTTTCAGAGAGAGTGGAACAGGGAGACAGGGAGAGAGAGAGAAACATTGATGTGAGAGAGACACATCGATTGGTTGCCTCCCGAACGAGCCCTCCCCGGGGCTGGGGATCGAGCCAGCAACTGAGGTGCTTGCCCTTTGCCAGAATCGAACCCGGGACCCTTCTGTTTGCAAGCCGACGCTCTAACCCGTGAGCCAAACTGGCCAGGGCTGCATTCTTTAATTTAATATAGGTAGTATGTTTAATTAGTTCTATTGTATTTACATTCTCCTTTAAAAATTAGTATAGAAACATAAAAATATTGTTATATTTTCTCACACATATTATTTGCTTGGTTAATCCTTCTATTTATTACTAGTTGCCATTTTTAACTAGTCCTATTGCTATTTTGTTTAATAGCATTTATGCAACAGAAAAGAAATGTAACAATACATAATTTCAAGTAAGTACCAATTTTTCATGTTTTTAAGTTAAATAACGTGTGTGATTATTATATATTATTTTCACACACATCAGATTGGCAAAAATAAAAAATGTCAGCCATTTCCAAATATTATCAAGAATGTTTAGAAAAAAGAATCTTATACACTGCTTATGGAGTATAAATTGGTACAATCACTGTGAAATAATCCAACAACATCTAGTACATTACTTTTCTCTTGCTGTTGAAACCTAGTGACCTAACATACCTATTATCTCAGTGTCTTCAGGCCAGGAGTCAAGGTACAACTTAGCTGGTTCCTCTCTTCAGGGTCTCACAAGCTGCAATCAAGGTACAAGTCAAGCCATCATTTCATCTGGAGGCTTGACTAGGGAAGCGTCTACTTTCAAGCTCTCTTAGGTTGGCAGAATTTATTTCCTTGTGAGTAGGACTGAGGGCCCTAGCTTCTTACTGGCTATCACCTGGAGCTATACTCAGCTCCTACAGACCATTCATAGTTTTCAGCCATGTGACCCTCTCTGTAGGCAGTTCACAACATGACAGCTCACTTCTTTAGGGCAAGCTCCAGGCTGTTAAAAAACTTACATATGAAATGTGATCATGGGAGTGGCATCATATCATTGTTGCCACATTCTATTGGCTAAAGTCAAATGTTCTACCCACATTACAGGGGTAGGGATTATACACAGCAACACCAAGTAGGCAAAGACTATGGGAGCGTTTTAGAATTCTGTCTACCATCTCAAGTAAAATTAAAGATGCAGTGTCCTAGTATCTAGCACATTCCCTGTATACATGAAGATATGTACATGAATGTTCATAGCATCATTGTTTATAATAGCAAAACTATTGTTTCATAGTTTTTAAATTTCTCAAAATACAAAAGATATAGTCAGAGACATTAGCTAATAAAATACCAGGTATGATATGATAACATTTTAATAAAAGCAACATATATATAGGAATTCTGTTTTGATAATGGCCAACTGCTGTTGTCTTGAACAAATCCTCCCACCATTGAAAACTGGACAAATATAAAGAAGATTAAGGCAGTGAACGGCTACCATGGCAGTGAGAATTTATGGGTCTAGGATTTGGAAGAAAAGGGAGCCATAAGGGATGAGCCAGGCATTTGCCATAACTTTTCCACCTGAGGTGATTGCTAATTCTGAAAGCAGTGGCTAGATAAAGCTTTTGGCTGTTTCTCATCAGGCTTAAGAGGCCTGACTGAGGAAGAGAGGCCCTACTAAATATGCCAGACTTTTGGTTTTGTTAACCTAAAAATAAAAGGCCTTTCAAAGTAAGAGGCAACAAGCATTTATTTGAGATCAAAGAATAGCTATTCAGGAATCACTGATTCAGAAAGAAACCCAAATAGTCTTCCAATTAGAGACTAATGCAAGGGATATTTATGAGAAAGGGGAACAATTACACCAAGAAAAAGAAGTCATTTGTATTGGTGCAAATAACAATAGTGATGCTAATTCCACACAGTTTTTAAAAATTTCAGTACAGTATTCATCACTCTGGTGAAATAATATCTGCTTTTTCTTTATCTTTGCAACCAGTTCTTTGGGACACAGTGTTGCCTTAGGCCCAATCCAAAGGTTATTTTGCCCTGCTTTAAGTTTGAGGCATAAGATGTGTAAGGCTGTTCCTCTGGGATGGCACATCCGGCTCCATTTTAAAGTGACTCTGTTTATATTATTTTTACAGTTGGAATCCTCAAGAGATAGGATACCCTAGTTAGGATTAAGGATGAACTGGAAATAAACTAGTTTTCACAAAGACTAAAGTCCACCTCTGAATAATCTTAGCTCCTGAATGGAATAAAGTGATCTGTCCTCAGATTTACTGTGGTCAGGCATGCTTGCCCCTAAGCCTGTCAGAATACCTTCCCTTTCCCTAGGCCTCTAACTCAAATTCAACTCTGATCTTAGAAAACACACAATCAATGTTGAATACTGATGCTGCAGAGAGAGATCCAGGACAAATGAGCATTGTATAGCCTAGGATTCAGGTAATGTGATCCTCTTTTCCACACTTATGAATGTATTAAGCTATCCCATCTCTTTCATCTTGCTTCTTAGTGGGTGTTTTAAATCGATTTGATAAACCATGTCACACGTGAGACTTTCTATTTCTTGATCTCTGCTCGTCTGGCTTCAGTCTTTCTTCGCTCGAAGCCACTGCTCAAAAAGAATTCACCAAAAATATTCCATCCAATTTAACAGTAACAGTTAGTTGCCTCAAATTTTCGTTTGAGGGCACTGATTGAGAGTCAAGCAAGATTCTGTGTTTCGTTTAATTTCTTAATGATTTTTTATAACCCTCATACAAAATACAAAGGGGATGGGAGAGAGCTAAAAAAAGAAATAACCAGAAGCTTCCTCAAGCATGCTGCACGTGAATGCCTGAGACTCGAGGCACCGACTTTTAACACTTTCGTTATACTCCCTCAGACTTCATCCATCCCATCCTGCATTCAAGAAACGTGTACTTGATACCAACTGTGCTAGGGGCTAGATACGGATAGAGGTGAGCGAAGACCGATCCGCCCGGAAGAGCTTCGAAGATAGGTTTGTGGACTTAACCTTGCAATTCAACCTAAGAAGTACCGTTTAGTTGTCACCCCACCACGACTCTGCAGCCTTTGCCATTGACTGCAGCCTTCGCAGCGACTCCGTCTTCCGGCCTCGGACTCTTCCCCTGGTTCGGGGCTAACCGCTAGGGCTTCCAGTGAAAGGCCTCTGAAAGACTACAACTCCCGGCAGCCTCTGCAGCAAGGCAGCGGAGGGGCGTGCGCAGGCGCGCGGTCCGGCCCCTATGCGCAGACGCACTGCGAACGCCGGCTGAGCTGGGTCTTGCTGCTGGTGCGCGGCGGCGGAGAGTGAGGCCTGGTGAGCACCGCCCGGGTGCGAGCCGGCTCTTCGAGGCTGTGTGTGCGCGCTAGGTACCGCGGGCCGGCGAGTGAGCAAACGGCTCACCCCAACAGTGGCACCAACGTCGGTTGCCGTTAGCCTGGTGAGTGCTGGGGTCCCCTGCGGTCCCGGCCCCTCCCCCTCCCGCCGGCGGATCCGGCAGTTCGGCGGGACCCGGGAGAGGTCTCGGGCGAGGTCTTGGGCTGAGGGCGGGCGCCGGCCGTGCTCGAGCTGGGTTTCCTGGGCCCAGGAGCTCGCTGCGCGTCTGTGCGTCACGGGCCCGGCACTGTTAACGGCCGCACGCCCGGCGGAGTGGAGGGTGGGGGTGGGGAGCACTGGTGTGATCGCCATGGGGAA